TGAGCTAAAATCACTGATTTTCTCTATGGACTTTGGTCTGAGCTAAAATCACTTTGGTCTGTGAGCTCATGCAGGTGTTAATATTGTTATTACTTTCTTAAATTGTACTTTGACACAGACAGAACATCCCATCGTCATTGCTGACTGCAGGTGTCTGGAACATGACAGAAAAAGGCTGTAATTGTGGTAATTGTTGAGTTAATTGTTTCATTCATGTGTAAATCTGAGCTGTTAGTGCCTGGAAGCTTCCGTCAGTCTCCTCACAGTCGTCCTGACACCTGCTCTGTCCGTCCGTTCGTCACTCCTCGTTTATTATCTGCTCCCTCTAGTGTATTTCCGTGTCCTCCAGCGTTGACTCTGTCAGATCAGATATCTTCAGCAGACAGCACAAGGTCGTCAGACAGGGACCCTGGACCCGGGCCTCCCCCCGGTCTCTGTGCTGTCCACATTCATTCTCAGTCAGTGGTAGAACTGAGTTCAGCAGACGTCAGTCTGGACACAGGCTGAACATCTGGGTCGAAAAGCAGCTCGTCTGACTTTTATGGAAAAACTCACCGACTTTCTGTTGTGTTGTTGAATTGTTTAATATACATAAAAAACTGTGTTCGCTGAAAAATATAGTATTGAAGTAAAGAAACCATGTATTTGTAATTTTTTTTCATATGTCCACTGCATTCAAAGATTATTACAAAGTCACAGTACAATTACAGCTAATAGATAGCTGAAGCTCTGGTGTGTGTTGGCTGTTGTAGCTAACATTAGCTCTGGTGTCTATACCAGGATGGCTGTAGCTAACGTTAGCTCTGGTGTCTGTACCAGCACTGTTGTAGCTAACGTTAGCTCTGGTGTCTATACCAGGACTGTTGTAGCTAACGTTAGCTCTGGTGTCTATACCAGGACTGTTGTAGCTAACGTTAGCTCTGGTGTCTGTACCATACCTGTTGTAGCTAACATTAGCTCTGGTGTCTGTACCAGGACTGGTGTAGCTAACGTTAGCTCTGGTGTCTGTACCAGCACTGTTGTAGCTAACGTTAGCTCTGGTGTCCGTACCAGGACTGTTGTAGCTAACATTAGCTCTGGTGGCTGTACCAGGCCTATTGTAGCTAACATTAGCTCTGGTGTCTGTACCAGGACTATTGTAGCTAACATTAGCTCTGGTGTCTGTAATGTTAGCATGCCCAAAAAGCGAAACACACAGACTCATCTTCTGGCTGGTTTATGAAATGTAAGTTCATTACTGTCACCTACTGGGCGTCATCAGTCATCGATGTTACTGGTTAGCCAGAAATGAAACAACAGAAAAACTTGATTAAATGTTTTATTTTGATACACTTTTTAATACTTTGTCACCAATTAATTGAGATTGACATGGAAAAGTCCCTGTCCTGGTTTAAACTAAAACTCTAAATAGACATTTGACTTGTATGACATCAGATGTGACCTCTGACCTTTAGTCCCTGCTGTGTAAAAGGACTAAAGGTTACCACCTCCTCACTGACAGTGTCAGCCATGGAGTGGAGGTGTCAGGGTTGGTTTGTCTGGAAGGTGGAGGCAGCATAAAAAGATTCCATTAGTCTCTAACCGTGCGCTTCCTAAAAGTGTCACAATAATCAGGGCCACGCTTCAGTCGACTCCTGGTCTCCAGACCCATCTCCATATTCATGGTGGTGACGCGGAGGTCAGAGGTGGAATTATTCTCCAGGTTCCTCTGCATTGATTTCAAATGTGAGATGTGTCTGCTTCGTGGCTGACTTTCATCTGTGGAAGTGAGCAGCTGCTGCGTCCTCCTGTCTGTGTTTGCTGACTGGACTGAAGGGGCTGTTCATCAGGAGTTTGACACCAGGGGGAAATAAATAGAGACAACTCTTCCTTTTCAATCTCCATCCATTTCTATCCATCCTCCAACCAGCTCAATCCAGCTTCAACCACCTTATCCTGCTAACGAGTCCCACAGGGTATTTTGGGGTTTGGGCAGGTCATCGGGACTTGACCTTATGATGTGAAAATGCAGATATTTTAGGAAACATGAGCCAAAAACACTTATTTTCACACTACTGGTGGTAGGGGAAAGTTCATGCTCTAGGGCCCCCTACTGGCACCAATGCAACCAGTGCAGTGTGATCTGTTTTTAATCAAGGTGTTGTGAATAAGTGCCCATTCTTTGTTTTAACCCGTATTTGTAACCACTTTGTCTCCACAGCAGGTCCTTCTCCCCCCATCTTCTCCCTCTTCTACTGTTACACCACACAGCTCCACATCTCCCATCACTACATCTGTAAATCAACTCTGGTCTCTGGTCTTCTTCAATAACCATCTCCACCTCCGCCTTTCTCTCCTGTCCATCCTGTTTACTCCCTTCTCCTACTCCACCTCCCTCTCCTGTCCATCCTGTTTACTCCCTTGTTGAGAAGATCTCAACATCTTCTCCTACTCCACCTCTAACTCAGCCTCTCGGGGATTGATCTGATCTGAACCAAAAACAATTAAAACAGATTAAAATGTACCAAAAAAGTACATTTTCTAAAACCAATGCCAAGCAGTTTCAGTAAGAAAAACGTCTACAGAAAGACATGATAAAAAACATCAATCATCATCATCAATTCACTGAGTGGGAAAGAGGCTGTAGTCAGGGTAAAGACCCTCACTTCCTGTCAGACACAAATGAGGCGGAATTAATTATTTTCTCAGGAAAGCTCATTACTGGACCAGCTCAACTCCATTAATTACACTTTACATTAATCATTAAATATTAAAGCAGCAAGTGCTGCAGTGGGAGCAGCCCTGATCCAGGGACATTAAATAATACTAATAAAAGACAACACACCAGGACCTACAGAGGTGAAAGGCCATAGAAATGACTCAGGAGTTGTTTCTGTTTTAACGCCTGATCACTCCGAAGCTCCGCCCCCTCCGTCTCCAACAGTCCAAGCTTTCAGAATTTTTTTCTGCAGGTGCAGCTGAATAATTACCCTCACAGCCCAACATCTCCAAATGTGGAAAAAGAGAACGTGAGTAGCTCTGTCTCACAAACACAACTGGAAACAGGATGTGAAACCTCATTTGTCTCCCAGTACACAGGTCTGTCCCAGTGTGTGTATAAACAACCTTAGAGAAAGAGCGGCAAAGCCCGCTCCGACCTGCTGCCCTCAGAGGGGCCCCGCTACGGCAGGAGACCTTTGGAAATGTTTAAAATCTACCATTCGTCCAGGCAGCAGTGAAATAATGTATATGTTCTGACAAAGACAAAAAGTCAAATGCTTTTAGTCGCCATGGTTACAGGTGTCAAACTTGGTTCTGGGGAATTGTTACGTTCCTGGCTGCTTTGGAGAAGAACTTTTCTCTTGAAGGTGGACACCACATGTCCTGATGGACAAAACCTGTCAGGAGAGTGGACCCCTGAACTAATGGAGACCCCCACCATAAATACTAAAGTGTAAATAAACTAGTGTTTTATATTTAACTGGGCCCAGTGCCACGTATTGACCCACCTTTTTTTCACATGTGAGCTGTTTTTAAATAATACACAACTCCACATAATTGTTCTTGAATTTTCAGCAGATGAAGGTGTTGTGAGTAGGGGGCGCTGTGATATTTTTAAGCAGATAACATGAGGGCAGTGTGACTGCTGTGGACTGAGAATAAGGGCAGAGTAAAATAACTGCAAACATAATGGAAGTGGTTAAAATAAATAGTTCATGCTTTTACCCTGAATAAAATATGACTGCAGCTGAACGTACACGGTGAAGTTCAGAGATGTGAAAGGAGAAGCACGAGTGGCTTCTGTCCTGCGAACATGTAAGAGTCGTTTCATCACTTCATCACCAAAAATAAGTCGGTGCCTGGAACCTGGAGGACACACAGAGGTCTGCTCTTTGAAAAAAACATATAATCTGTGTTAATCTGAGTTTTCTCCACAACCAAATCACACTCACAGTCCACGGTTGTAGAAAGAAACCCGAGAACCCTGAGTGAAACTGGCTATAGGATCGGAGAAGATCAGGTCAGACAGAACAGAGGTCCAAACATCTACAGTAAGGATGATGAGGTATCTCACAGGATGGAGAGACTGACGGAGGGTCAACCAGAGCTGGTCACCATCACTGAGAAGGTACAGTCACACTGATCCAGAGTCAACTCATCAAATATATCAACTCAATAAGATGGAAGAAGACGAAAAAGATGGTAGATGGTGGATGGATGGATGATTGGTCAGATGACCATTACTAGAGTCTGTGTGAATGGACAGACCTGGATGGATGGTGTGGTGAATATGTGGTTTATTGAGTGAGAGATTGATAGAGGTTTATAGATGGATGATAGATAGGAAATAATGAAAGGATGGATGAAAACAGTTGGGTAAATGGATACATTCAATGAATGATTATAAAACTGTGAATGAATGAACAATGATGAAATGTTGCAGGCACATTGTTGATTCAGTGGTCCTATATATCTATTACATTTACTTACACTAATAAAAGACATGTTGATATAGAAAATGGTTTGAAAGAGCAAGCAAGAAATCATTTCCCAGCCCTGAAGGACACTACATTTACCATTCACACACCAACACACACACACACAGAGTGACTCCGTGGATGTGGTGGTCAAAGATGAGGCTCATTTACCAGAGGAGACTCATCATGTCTCCTACGCTGCTGTTGATCACTGCAATCAGCAGAAGACGGGAGAAGAGGAGTGGAGACAGCAGCTCATCAGCTCCGAGGAGACGCTTCTCCGTCTTCTCTGATTGAGCTGAGGCACTTAGAGGACACTCAGTAATGACCAGCATCACAGCCTGTGTCTGCCTGAGTGTCCTGCAGCAGAATTAACAATGTTCTTTTCTCTTTCATGTGATAATGGTTCACCGGTTCCTGTCAACTTTACTTTGTTGAAAACATTCAACTCCTCAGGACCACTCATTCTCATGGAGACCCAGGTTTAAGACAGAACCGCATGTTTGAAGTTTGGGCTGAACTGGAGTTAAGATGAAATGGTTTATTTTGGTAAATATGTGTGTGAAACGAAGTGATTCAGTTCTGAGTTAAAGCTGATTACAAACCATGTGAGTGATGTTTGTGTTTGGCTGTTGGGACCAGGTTTGGTCCACGACCATCACCAGGAGAAGACCAGGGGTCTGCAGCCTGTGGTTTCTGGGCCACGTGGCTCTTCAGGCTGCTACCAGATAGCAGCCAATCAAACGCTCAACAAAGGGAATGGGTAGGAGCCATGAACCTGTTGTTTATATACGGTTGTCAGTGAGAAATGTTGGTTCATTCTTAGCTATTTTACTGTAGTTCTCGGCTATTGTTTCACTGTCATGTCCAATTGAAATGTACTTTATTAGAAATGTATCCTTAAAAGGTTCAACTTCAAAAGGTGGATGAATGGATGGATGGATGGATGATGAATAATGGATGATGGACAGATGGATGATGGATGTATGAATGGATGTGGATGGATTGATGGATGGATGGATTGGTGGATGGATGGATGGATGGATGGATGGATGATGGACAGATGGATGATGGATGGATGGATGGATGGATGATGGAGGGGTGGATGGATGGTAGACAGATGGATGATGGATGGATGGATGGATGTGGATGGATTGATGGATGGATGGATTGGTGGATGGATGGATTGATGGATGGATGGATTGGTGGATGGATGGATGGTGGGTGGATGGATGATGGATGATGGATGATGGATGATGGATGGTGGATGGATGATGGATGGATGGATGGATGATAGACAGATGGATGATGGATGGATGGATGGATGGATGATGGACAGATGGAGGATGGATGGATGGATGGATGGATGATGGATGGGCGGATGATGGATGGATGGACTGATGGTTGAGTGATGGATGGATAGATGGATGCTCAGCTGACCTTGCCTCTTCATGTGTGACTTATTGCCTTTGTTTGATTTCTGATCTCAGCTGCTAATCTTTAGGCTTCGCCTTTGGCCGAAAAGATCTTTTTTTTAACATTAGTCCTTGAATATATATTTGCATCTGAAGCTTCCATCACTCCAGGGCTCCTGAGCTCCACTTTTTTTCTAAACCTCTTTATTTTTCTAAAGAAATTTTAGCAGGCACTTTCTGCACAACCGTCCATCTTGTCATTACATGTCAGACATTACTGTTACATGTCATTTCCTGGAAACAGAGGATGAGCAGAATGAACAGAAAGACTCATTTTTCACTCACACTGACTCCACAGACATACCTGGGCCTACAAAACACTTCAAGTGGATTTTTATAACAGATAGTGACTATAACAGTTGCAGAGAAGATCCATGTTTGTAGAACGTGAGCAGTGAATGAATATTGGATTTGGACTGTGAACTAAGATTTTCTTTTTGGACTTCTAACAGCTCAGACACAAAGGCCTAAATGTAGGTTCCTCTAAATGGCAAATTATTACAAATTAAATAATCTGTGGGATTTGGAATATTCTAGGAGAGTACTTTCTTTTCTCCAGAAATGATAATGATTATGATTAGACATAATTAAATGTTGGTAATATCTCTTTATCCGTCTGATATGATCCACCATCAGGTCAACATTTCTGTTTGGTTGTCTGTTTTGTTTTTGTTTTTTTCTTGTAAGCTCATCATCAGCTGTGCTGTTTCTTTAATATTAATGAGTGCACAAACAAAAAACAAGGAAAATGACAACAAACACATGGAGCCTCTTTGCAGCACTTAATCTAGACATGGCCAAACTCCAGCACCGATCAAACGCTGCGTTTAAAAGGCAGCGCTGTGCCCACTCAGGGATAATTACTGCCATTATTCTATTGAAGAATGAGCACCTGAGACAATCCCTTTAATGTTTTACCCCTGTGGTATTTTCCTCAACTGTGTGCTCCTCCTGTGGCACATAAAAGAAAAACTGTTCTTCTTCTCATTCAGTGTAATTTTGTCCATTCATCTATTTACGTTTATCCCATTTTCAGTGTTATCTTTAAATCTTTTATACTATTGTGGTGCACTTCAGTTTTTTTTGTTATTATTCCTATGTTCACATCTGAAACGGGAGCTCAAGCAAATTATTGGACCAGGTGTTACACTTTAATTAATGAATAACTGACTACTCAGTTATTTTATTTGTTTCTACTTATTTTAATTGTTTCTACCAATTCTACTACTACTACTACTAGTATTACTACTACTTTGACTACTACTACTCCTATCCTAAACTGACGCATTCTTTGCTGTTTTGATTTGATATATTAATTTAAAAACATATTTTGTCTACAGTTATAGTTAAGAAATGTTAACATATGCTACATGTTCTTCATTTTCTATCACATTCTGCTTGTTTCAATGTTCCCGTTACAGTGCTTTAGTGGGTTTATATGAAGCTAAAAACCTTAAACGAATTGTAAATGAATACACTGCCCTCTGTCGACAAGTTACATTAAATACACATTCAGATTTAGTCCAGAATCAAAATACAAATAAAAAGAAGTTACCACTACCCTTCCCGCACACACACACACGAATTAGACTACCTTTAATGAATTGCTTTTTATTAACATTATATTATATTATTTAAGCTATTAAATGAAAAAAATCGAAAACGCAAATGCAATTTTATTTTGTTTTTACTAAACTGCAACGACTTTTTTATTATTATTTTTTTTACAACACATATTTTTCCCTCTTTAATTTTCTAAGAGTTCGTTTCCTGGATTCTCATAATTTGGGCAGCATTAGACACAAAATGGCGACCAGGGAGGAAACTATGACCGCATCCTCGTCCCTTTACCAATCTAAAAGGGACAATGGAGAAACTTCTTCAATTTCATTTAATTAATTTCCATCACTCTTGCGCAAATATCTATGGAAAATGTGTTTTTGTTTTATTTGTTTTTTTTGCGGTTTTTATTCTGGCTTATTTTTTCCAATCAGAAAAAGAGCTGAGATTTAGTTTCGCTCTTAATATAAAACGGAAGTGGACGCCTTCCTCCGCGCCTTCCCCTGGTGAAAACGATTGTTCCGCCGACACCTGTTTCTAATATGTTATTAGCGTTTATTTTATTTTAACATGTTTCCTTACGACCATACCATACATCAATGGCTATGTCTTTAGATGTCTTTTTGTGTTTTTGTCTTTGTTAATTGAAATTACTTTAATGAAGAGTAAACATTTCTATCATTTATCATTATACATAAAACCGTTTTGTTTTTAATGTTGCCGTTTTTATACTTGCATATTCTGTCCAGATTGCATTTAGTAACGCATATAGCCTATATGTATTCCTCTTTATATTATTTAATATATACTATTTTCATTTTTTTCATATTATATTTTTGTCTGTATTTACATTTTTACTTTGACCATGATTACGTCTAATCACTGAGCATTGTGTTGGAGGATTTGTGATTAATTTGTTTTTACTATTTGGCAAATATTTATCCTCATTATATATATATATATATATATATATATATATATATATATATATCTTGTGTAAAGCTATGATAGACCAAGGCAATGAATTGAGTCTTTTGTGAAGTGGTTGTTATCAGTTTTTGAACTTTCCCCCATGTCTTTATAGCTGTGACGTCAAACAGTCATGACGTAGGCCCGCCTTCCAGATTCCTACAGCGGTCACCTACAGTCTGTAACACAGAGAGAGAAGACTGCTCAACAACCTCACAAGTGTTTGTGGAGATAGAAGAGAAGACACAGTGATGAGGATCAGCCTGGCCAACCTGATAACATGTGAGTAAACTGACTTCAGAGCAGCTTGCCCTCATTTCCTGCACCTAACCGTTACTTTCACTCATCTAGTTTCTGTCTTCAATGACAGAATTGGTGTGTATTTGACAAAGAATACAAGGTGGATGACTGCATGCATTTCCTCTGAGGTTTCTGTCTGACAGCATTTCCTGCCCATGAAACGTGTCTTCTCATTGTCTGTTTAAAAAAGTCCTTTAAAAACTAAAGCTATTTTTTCTCTATTTAGACACATCTTGTACAACTATCATGTAAAATCCTTTTTTAAGAAATGAAACGTACAGACATTATTTTTAATAGGTTTAATAAAAATCTAGATTCTGTGTTGACTTTTAAAAACAACATACTACTTTAATTTCTCATTTGCAGATTTTGTCACATTTGACTGTTTTAGGGGTTTCTAATGATTCAAGACAAATATTTGTAACTACAGAAAAGTATTCCAGCTGTGTGTAATGTTATATGTCTTGTCATTTTTACAGTGAAAAGACTTATGTTGTTTGTTGTTGACCATCTACTCACTCAAACAATTTAGTCATTCATTGTTTATTTTATCAGCTTTAATCTCTTTTTAGGGAGGATTCCTGGCAGAGACATCAATAGTTTCATATAAAAAAGTCAAGTTAAAAGAGAAAGTATTCAGAAGTTAGTAAGTTAACTAAAATAGATGTGACTTAATCCTTAGTCTTAAATTTAAAATAAACTAGGTTACTGGACAAATAAGACACCAGGGCAAGGACTTAAAAAACAAGTCATCATAATGATAATTTCCATCAGACAGAATATTCCAGCACTTTGTGACTTTAGGAAACAACATGAAAAAAACGGAAAATTAACAATATGGTTTTCCAATCCCTGGCAGAGAAACAACAATTGATCCTGAACTAGAAACATAACCTAAACCTGAAATTGTATTAAAACTGGAAATTATGTTGAAAAGACAGGTTGATTAAAATCCATCGATCACATCTTCATTTTTACATCACAGTTAACTTTTATTCTGGCATTTGAAATTCTTCATTCACATTTACCTCAGTGAAACTAGTTGACCACAGTGTAGCTGTGCACTGAGCAGTAGTTAAGTTAACATTTTTATTCGTTTTTGTTTGTTTTGAAACAAAGTCACTGATTTTTTTCAAAGTCAAATCTTACGGTTTAATTTAAAAATAAATGAACCCGAGACCAAACGTTTAAAAATGTTTGTTGTTTATCATTTACAGGTTTTCTGCTGATTCAGTCAATGTGTGCAAACAACAGCATACAACAGGCTGAAGGCTCACTTACACCCACTGCCATCACCACTGGTTCCTCAGCGACCACTAACCCTAATCCTAATCCTGATGAATCAGATGCCACCACTCTTACTACCCCTGCTGAAACATCTCCAACCACAACCACCACCACTCCACCGGCCAGCACCACTGAAACAACTCCGTCCACCACCACCGCTGGATTAGGCACCACTACAGGTACCACCAATAACACTGCTGACAACACTGGAACGCCCGCTGCCGCCCCCACCAGCTTAGACACCACCCCTCCCCCGGCCAGCACCACTGAAACAACTCCGTCCACCACCACCGCTGGATTAGGCACCACTACAGGTACCACCAATCCCACTGCTGACAACACTGGAACACCGGCTGACACCACCACCAGCTTAGACCCCCCCCCCCCCCCGGCCAGCACCACTGAAACAACTCCGTCCACCACCACCGCTGGATTAGGCACCACTACAGGTACCACCAATACCACTGCTGACAACACTGGAACACCTGCTGACACCACCACCAGCTTAGACACCACCCCTCCACCGTCCAGCACCACAGGATCACCTCCATCCACCACCACCTCTCCACCTGCTGACACCACAGGATCACCTCCATCCACCACCACCCCTCCACCGTCCAGCACCACAGGATCACCTCCATCCACCACCACCTCTCCACCCGCTGACACCACAGGATCACCTCCATCCACCACCACCCCTCCACCGTCCAGCACCACAGGATCACCTCCATCCACCACCACCTCTCCACCCGCTGACACCACAGGATCACCTCCATCCACCACCACCTCTCCACCTGCTGACACCACAGGATCACCTCCATCCACCACCACCTCTCCACCTTCTGAGACCACTGGAACAACTACCACCCCTCCTGGTACCTCAGCCAACACCATCACATCCTCCAGCTCTCTCCCAAGCTCAACCTCAGCTACAACCCAGACCATCACACTGGAACCAGCAACTGGAGACAAGTCCAACGCCCTGAGCTCAGGTGAGAGAGTCATCTGTGACTAAGGTTGATTTTTTTTTTTCTGTTTGTTTTTCTGCTCATGTATTCTGTCGACTCTTTTCTTCTTCCGTTCCGTTCTATGTTAAATCACTGATGTCAGCGATGTAAATCCTACAGTGGCCAGACTATGGTCTATGGCCACTATCCTGCTCTGGGGTCATGAATAAACGTAGTGACTGATCTTTGTGCTCAGACTCTCTGATAATAATTGATAAACTCAGCTGTCGCTCAGCAAACGATCAACATTAACCAGTAACAATCAGCTCCAAACATCAAAAGTCAGCGGTTGAACCACATTGAAACATTTTGCTGTCTTCTCTATGCATCTGTCAGTATTTTCTATCCATCTTTTAGCTATCCTCTTTTCAATTAGTCTATGCTAAATTGTAGCAATCCAATTGGCTAGCTTTTCTGTTTATCTCCGGGCTAACTCCAAGTCTACTTGTTAAGTATTTCTGTGCAAACCTTGACATACTAAACTTTGAGGCCCCCACCCAGTAGCTACGTCAGAGTGTTGAAGTTAAGTTATCGTCTCCAAGATTAATCATTAACAGTTCAGTTCAAAGGTTTCTTCGGTGAAGTAAGGAAGAAGTTATCATTATAAGAAATCCATGTCATAAAAAAGGTTGGGAATTATTCTGAAGAAAGGACCGTCAGAGATTTACCAGGAAACCAAAACCTAAGAAACAGAAACTTAAGAAAGAGGTTAAAGACTTAATAAAAACAAACAAGTTTTAGCTAATTTTTGGCTTTTTTTTTTTACTATTTGTTGTAGTCAGGTTTTTTAGCTCCTAGTCATCCAACATATTTTTTAGCTCCTAGTCATCCAACATATTTTTCATCCAACACATGTTTCTGAAACTACATTTTGGCATGGATGTGATGTTGAGGAAGCCTGACGGCACCATCTACACCAGTGGTTCTCAACCTTCTTTGGCCTCTGACCCCATTCTGACATCACAAATATCTGGCGACCCCAGAGACATTTTAGTAGCTGTCACTCTATCACAGCCACCAGCTCAGATATTTTTATACACTGCACAGTTTATATTCACAAAAACTAAAAAAACAGAATATTAATTAGTTGAAAAATGATCTACATTGATTTACACTCAGACATTAATAAAGGTAAATGTTTATGTTTAAGTGGGGTTTTTTTAACAGCAGTATGAAAGTATGAAAACCATCAGGATGGTAAAAACCTTTAACGACTTCTTTCCTTCTTTCATTCTCTTTTCCAGGAAGTGTCACTGCCGTAGTTTGTGTCTTTATTGTCATCGCTCTGCTAATGTTGGGTGGAATCTATTACTTCAAGATCAGGTACATCCACTGCTCCAACACAGAGTACAGCAGCTTTCACACTGAGAGGCTGTGGGTCAGGTGTTCCATCATGTACGCAAAAATCATTTCTAGAAATGTTAGTTATTAAAAGTAAAAAAAAACAAGACGTGTTTTTTGAACCTTTTCTGCAAAACGCCTTCTTGACCTTTTTTTTCCTCTTTCATCTTGTAGAAAAACCTCCTACGGTCCTCTGCTGGAGAGCGACTACGGTACAGTGGGACACTTCAGTAACCCCATGTATGACCCCTGAAGCCTTTGACTCTTGACCTCGGACTCTGTGAGTTGGCTTTAGGCTACGGTCTGATGATCAGCCACTGATCCTGACTTAATTCTGACTCCATCTGAACCGGACTTTACAGTTCTGATTCTTACATATGTCTGACTTGTATTTGTGTATGTGAACCATGTATTACTATGGACCTGCAGTGGTAAAACATGGTTCATACCACAGGTCAGTCATGTGTTATTGTGTTATATTTGGTTAAATATTTGGTAGTGCTCTGGGTAAAAGCAGGAAGTTTGTCAAAAAGTGAATCTTTCAGAGGAAACTATGGCTCATGGTTCATCTGAGAGGATGACAAATATTTCTGCAGCAATAAGCGGAAAAAAAAGAAGGAGTTGAAAATACGAGTGTTTCTCCATATTTATGCCTTCCTGTTGATGCAGGTTGATGACCTCATCACCGAGCGCAAAGAGCAAGAAGCTGCTTGGCTGGTTGTGATGTAAGAGCCAGAACTGATTTGACTTCTGTTCTCACACTGACTTAACCTGAACCTGTTCTAGAATTAGGACAAACTGTCAGATTATTTTTGTTGCCAGATTTTACCCACAATTCCCTGTTGTTCAGCTATAGTCTGCTGTAGTTGGAAAGTCATCATGGTCCTTTGGTCCAAACCAGTGTTAGTGAGTGAACTGTTAACAGACAATGAATAAGAGATGCTGGTCGACAGGAAGTAGGGTCAGAAGACAACAGAGTCAGAGATCAGGGTTTGATGTCCTCAGTTACTGTCCACTCCTGTAGTGTGTGATCTCCAGTCTTTTGATGGTCAAACAAAACCCTGCAGAAACCAGTCCATTGGTCTGGACACCAGGGCCTGATTAACCTGTGGACAGACTGGGACAGTGGTGGACAGTGTGTCTTTAGCTTTGGTTTAGTGTGAACAGAGGGAGCTTCAGTGTCGTCAGCCTGCAGAGGAAGCCACTCAGATCAGGTTGGTTGTCTTTGTCAGTCTAGGTGATTAGTCATGAAACTGTTTATAACAGGTGAACACAGGAAGTGAGATCATTTATTTTTCTAAATGAAAGTTAAACAAGGAAAACAAAAATATAAAATGTGTCCGTCCCTAAAGACTTACTGAGAGTGTATTAACTGAGCTTCACGGTTGATGAATCGATAGAATGTGAACTGGTCAGAACCAGGGTTTCAGTTCTTTGGTCTCCTCAGAAACCCTGTCTGTTGGGACTTGAATTCCAGAAGGACCCGTTGGAAAGTTGGACAGTCACCTTAAGTTCCACATCAGCTCTACTGAGCCTGTTTAGTTTGGATATCATGGCAGGACATGATGTTGAAGACTGTTGTTACTGTACTGTATTAATCTGATCAGTATCCAGGACAGACCAGACCACAGGAAGGACAAACGTCCTCCCCTGGCCTTCGAGTTCTGTTAGTACTGACTCTGAAAATGAATTATCCAACACACAAGAACTCGTTCAGTGTCTCTGTCTGTGGTTTTTTATCTATAGTGAATCTTGGAATTATTTCTGTTGGGTGTTTCTTTTGTTTTTCCCCAAGGTAGAAACTGAATTTAAATGAATGTCTGACTGTTTATTAAAAAAAAACAAAAAAAACGATTGCACTAATACAATTTAGTTAATGCTTATTGAAGTAAAATTCATATTATAAGGACTTCGGTAGTTCACATAATATGTTTTCAATACACTTACACGTTCACATAATATGTTTTCAATACACTTGTGTTTTGTTTTGTTGTTAATATATTGAAATTCTTTTTTCATGGTGATCAGTAACAGTAATTTTTATATTTTAAAATTAAATAGATGTAATGAAATATATTTTTACTGCCCTATAGTATTTGTTTAACAGACTTTGTATACCAATATATTGCATAATATATTGGGTAACAATATCACAAATTAAATAAATTAAAGTTAAATAATGAATAGTATTCCTGTAAGAATGTATAAACTGGATATTGTTCTGCCTGTGAAGTTTTTTCTTCTGACTGTAGATTGTTTTGATGGTAAACAAAAGTCCAATAAAATCAACAACACATTGTAATCAATCGATTGTATCAATGGTTTTGTGAATTTTGTGAATGTGTTCACTGATGAGTTTGATTGTGGGTTTAAGTACCAACAGTTGAGCCAACCATCCCAAGAAACAGTCCATAACAGAGGACGGTATCAGCAGAAAACAGTGAGACCTGACGCAGGGTTTGGAGACTCTGACCGTAACACAGGAGGCAGAGCTGGAGCAGATGAAGATGGAGCTGGAGATAAGGATGCTGGGGAGATTAGAAGAAGAAGAAGAGGAGGAGGAGAAGGAGGACAAGAAGATTAGAAGAAGAAACAGAGAAGAAGACGATCAACAGCAGCAAAAGCAGCAGCAACTGAATCAGCTGCAGATTCTCACTGAAAGTTTAATCACAGTCCTGTCCTTCATCAGCTCCACCTCCATTCTTCATCTCTCTCACATCCTGTTACCCAGATCCTCCATCTCCTCCTCTTCCTCCTCCGCCTCGTCCTCCTCTTCCTCTGCACATTTCTCTATCTCCAGGTCCATACCACATGATTACAGAATCCAGAGACATCATTATGTTTAAAAAAGGAAATGTAGCTTCATCTACTATAAATATATTATTATTCTGCTGCATTTTTTTATAAAATTATAAAATATTTAAATTGTTATTTGCTCATACATGTTTATCTTTATTTTGTTTTAGATCTTTTGATAATTCCATTATTTATTTTGAAATACTTTTTCAATCTTTTTTTCTAGAAATGAGCTGCTCAACCTGTTTGATGTGTTGCGTTTTTTCTCTTCCTTTCAGCTGTGTCTCAGTTTAAATGTTGGTTCCAAGTACTTTCACGGTAACAACAGAGATAAACACTGCAATTATCAGGCCTCTTTGTGTGTGTGTGTGTGTGTTTAGTAGGAACATCTGAAAACAGAAACTGAATAATGTTTGCTGCATGAATTTTTGACCTTCATAGAAAATAATAATCTAAATCTATATTTTTTTTATTAAGGTAGAAGTTTATAGAAATGACATTATAATTGCACAGTTCAACCTTAAACCTTAGGAAACTGAGTGACTCTAACGTGTGGTTTCACAAACCAAATCAGGTCAGTTTTCACTTTCAGCCTCTACATCTTTCCACACCTGCTGCTTTTTTTTCCATTTATGTTAAACATAAACGTGGAGGTTCTTCACTCTGTCCCAGTGTGAATTAATAAACTGGAGCAGGAACTGTTCTCTGAGATCTCTGAGAGACATTATTGATTAACGTCTCTCGGTCAGAACTGATGTGTATTGGCAAAGATCTGGTGATAAGATGTGTATCAAGATATATGATATATTGCTATATACTGCACTACTATAGGCACGACAATATGTTACTTTTTTTTTTGAAACAATGTCATTGTCAGCATAGTAAAGACCAAATGTTGCTACAGGCTTAACATCTGGTTACTAAATACTAAATTGGACCAGAGAAGTTTTTTACAAATTTCAATGTATATCAATATTTTCTTACCTCTAGTCAGAACCAGGGTCTGTGTATCATTTAATTAATTAATTCATATTTGAAAGATGAAAATAAAAGGTGGATGACATTCTGGTCAATATAAAAACATCAAAAGAGCTGTTATTAACTATAAAACGTCATGAAAAAACAATAGGCTGTTTAATTAGATGGTGGAAGTGTTGATGGTTTGTAACTAGAAGGAGAAAAAAGATAGAATTGTTCTCTAATACTGGGATGAGTTAATGAGCTGGGAGAGGCTGATGGATGAGACTCACCTGTGAGGAGAGTGTGGACCGGAAGTAGAGAGTAAACCGGAAGTCAATGGTCGGCGGGAGGAGAGGACAGTAGAGAGAGTGAAGTGGGCTGGAGGAGAAGCAGGTTGCACACCTGGTCCAGTGGACCAATTCTGTCTGAGGAGAAGGTAAGTCTTCATACAGAGACACACACAAAGAGTTTTTTTTTCTCTTTCGTCATTTTTATTGGATTGGTTTCGAATTTAAAAGAAGGCATATTCATTGTTTATTTAGACGGTCTCACTCAACGGTCAAATGGTGGTTTTAGTTTTATTAAGAATTCTAAAACCAACGTCAAAGTTGGTTACGAACACAAACACACGATATCAATTACATTTCCACAGCGCCATTGCGAAATGACTTAAGTTCAACGGCGCGCACAGATGGACACTAGGTGGTGGTATAGCACCTGCCTCTCTGCCCTCTGAACCCTACGGAGAAACCTTTACAAAATAAAAGCCTCATCATCAAGAACTAAAACATTATAAAGGCAATTCGGGATGAAAAACAACAACGATGACAATTATTATTTAGCAACGATAAAAAAAGGGTTATTTACACACACGTATTTAGCAACGATAAAAAAAGGGTTATTACACGATGTTTGTAACTATATCTTTAGTGTTATGTCGTTTACTGTGAAGCTGCGGATTATTACATTTACCACGAGATGTCACTATGGCAGCGTTTGTTTGTAGAGGAAGCGGTGGAAATTTTCAGGAGTGAATGTGACTCAGGTCTGAATGAGAAATCAGATTAACTGGATTTAACTTTAACTGAATGAACATGAAGAGTGTTTAACAAAACAGAAACAGTTAGAGCCTGAGACTGAGGGCACAACAGTCCCGAAAAACGAACTGTGCTGTGGAAAAAAAAGAAAAAAATCTCAAACTCTAGATTATACAAAGACAGACCATCTGACACAAAGAAAAAAGGTTATTTAAAACAAAACAGAAAATTTAATTTAAGCAGGAAGTTTTCAGAACTCCTACTTCTTCTTCGTCTTCTGTCCCACTGCCACAGATACTGGGGGGGTTGAAACCCGTCTGCCCAGGACTCAGAGCAGCACTAGGAGAACACAGACTTTGAAAAAAAAAGGAAACCTTTATCCAACGATTATTTAAAACTATACTTATTGCAGATTGTGACAAAAATAAAACAAGACACGACCAAAATGCACAGGAAGCGATATTGACCACAGACATCTGCTGAAACATGTTTGTTTGTCTGCAGCTGGAAAAACTACATTTCTGTAGCAAACATGGAAACTCCCAGAAAGAAGGACTCTGATGATGAGATCAGGCTCTGACAGAACCGATGAGCAGGTAAGAATTCCACAGAGAAAATCAATGATTTTAGCTCACAGACCAAAGTCCATAAAATAAGTCGTAACATAAGCACCAAGAGACCTCAAAGCTGCTGGTTCACTGCTACCTCCTGTGGCCAATTTGTGTCACTGGTGTAAATCTGAACAAAGAATTTCAAACATTAAAGTCTCAAAATAGCACGTCGTAGTGATGGAGGCAGCAGTGGATGAACAGCTTCTAATCTTTTTTAACGGAAAATACAACTTTTCAAATAAATGGACATTAAACTGAAGTGGTTTTTCCACCTCAACGTTTTTGAAATCAACCAAATTGATTTAATTTAGCCTTTTTCTATCTTATGTGATAACCTTTCTTTATACATCTGCATTTAGACTCCAACCTTTAACTTTAACACTCTTGTGCATTCTTACGCTCATTCTTGACAAACATTCAAGCAGCTTTGATGTGTTGGATGTTGTGGTTTTCTGCTGAAATTCACAACATTTCTAACGGGAACCTCCATCATTTGGATTCCCAGGTCGAAACTGTGATCCTTAAGGAAAACAAAGCAGAATAATCCTCATTTCTAGTCTAGAAGCATTTAGGTTTTTTTGTTTTGTTTGTTTTTTGAGTATTTTTCCAGCTGGTTTCTCGATACTGTGACTCATCACAGTCTTTAACCACATGCTCTGTCATCACAGAGGTACCAACAGAAATAAACGCTCACGCTGTCGTACTGTATGTGACGCAGGCTGTTGTTGATTAATCACAGACACGTCTAGAAGACATGAATGTCAAGTTTTCCCTGTAATCCCTGAGGCTTGATGGAATGAACANATAACAGACAGAAATAAATGTCAGATATTTAATTTTAGATCAAAGTGGACTCTGACCCAGGAGGGGTGAGTCAGGGTCTGGGGGATATAATAGACTCATTCACAAAATCAAGAAGAAGGAACTGAAAAATATATGTGATGAGGGTCAGACTAATGATGATGAAGATAGATCCAGAAGAGCTATCATCATCACAGTGAATATAATAATGATAATATAAAACATGATATAATGTTATATAAATAATAGTAAAAACAATTATATTACAACTATACAAATATCTGTTTTTCTTTACTTTGATGAATTCCAATGTGAATAACACAGATTTAAAAAAAATAAAATTTCCAAAGCTTTAGATTAGATAATAATAATTTAGATAATAATAATTATGTAGATGTGGTGCTTTGGCCCAGAGTCAATGTCTCTGTCATTGTTGTGGAACCCCAGGGTTCACCTCCTGGGCAAGTTCGAATCCCAGTTAGGGCGGTTAATACCTTCCAGTGGACTCACCACCCACAGGAAGGTTTGGGGGTTGGTACGGTGCAGTGTGATTTGGGTGGCGACTGCTGCCCCCGCGACCCGGTAACAGATAAGAAGATGAAAATGGATGGCTGGATAATTATATAGATAAAAGAACACTAGCATTAGTATCATATGGAGATGGGTGTTAAACAGGATATTTATATTTAAGTCCAACTTCCCATTTCTTGTGAATTATTTTGTAATGGTGCTTCAGACAGAACTTGCTTCTTTCAGTTGCAAAGACTAAAGTGTGTGCGTCTGTCTGTGTTATTCAAGTCATTAGTGTGTTGAAGGAAATGATGACATGAGGTCAATGATGAAACTTCCTGTTGAGGAAACATTTAAAAAAATGTACTTCATTACAAAATGCAGGCTGATTTTTTTTTTTTTTTTATCTTGTGTTTTTGTACAACTCTGTCTGTGAGTCACTGTGTATTTGTTTTTGAAGACAAAAAAGCTAAAAACACCTGTTTAAAAAAAAAAAAACAGGCAGTGTTTTTCTTAACTCCATGACAACATAGCAGATGTTCAGATATTTGGTGTAAAACTGTGGTTTGCTGCTTTGAACACAAGTCGTGTTTATCTGACACCAGTACTGATGACAGGACTTCAACTTGGACGGTCAAATGTCCACAGAGGCTACCGTAGCTCACACAGCTTCCACGGTGTCGTTCGTGTAGGTTATTGTAATGCAGGTGTTTCTGTCACACGTCGGACCTTCAAAGGTGCCGTGTGACCACAAAGGTAGAAAAATACTGGAAAAATAAGTGTAACAAAAAATGAAAAGTGAAAATAAAAAAATTAAATTCCTTCAACATCTTTGAGAGTTGGCCTAAGATCACGGTGAAAGTTGTTGTTTACTCTTAAATGAAGTTCACTACCAAATTAAAGTTACATTTCACCAGTGAACTAGTCACTGAAACTAGAAAAAAAAATGTAAATTGTCAAAAAATATATGACTGACAATAAAGAAAACAGAGGTTTAATAAGTCATTAGGATAAAAAACAAACAAAATGAAGACGAGTACAATTTTTTTTTTTAAATTTACACTAGATAAAAATGATGAGAGACATTATTATCTCATAATTATCTCCTGATGTTCTTCTGTTCTTCTTTCAATCTTCTTTGTTTAATCCTCACCTTTAAATGGTGAAAAAAAGCTCCCCAAATGAAGTTGCTTTTTACTAGTTATAAAGCAAAAATATTTGGATTAGTCCACTTAGCAACACATTTGTTCAGAAGAAAACACTAAATATACTGCATTCACTGCATCCAATTTCTCATTCATTTAGTTTTAATTAATATGTCGACTCTTTCTGCTCGGGGACAAACAGACATGCAGGTGTGATGCAGGTGTTGGTGATAATGATAAAAACAAAAACATTCCTAAAACAGAAGAAAAAAAGTTTCCACTGTGACTCAGCTCCTCTTCAGCCCTTCTCCTCCTCCTCTTCTCCCCTTTCCCCCCTCCTCCCTGAGGACATCCTGGTCAGTCAGACCTCAGTCGTCAGGTTCTGGTCCCTCCTCATCCTCATCCTCAGCCCTGCCCGTCTGCTCTGAGTCTTTATAACCAGGCGTCAGTCAGAGACCAGATCATCACAAACTGAAGACAAAGACACTTCTTATATTTCATCACCTCATTTTACAGAAGTTTCCTGCAGCTCTGAACAAACTCTGGTAGGTTTCTGACTAGAAGTTAACTTAATTTTACATTTAGACTGGTATTGTAGTTTGTTTTCTCTCTGTATTTAATTCATTTTTAGTCCCAGTATATATATATTTCAGTGCAAAGTTTTATAAATGAAATCAGATATTTTACATCTCCTTAAGTGTTTTTAACAATGATCTCTGCTGTAAATGTTCTGTTCTTCATGGACCTGTGGTTGTCTTTGACTGGGTCATGTTGGTCTCACAGGGTCCAGAACTGTTCTCACAGACCCTGGCTCAGTGTGTGTGTGTGTGTTGTTGTTTTCACCAGGAGGAGAGATGCAGCCTCTGACTCCCGCCCTCCTTGTCATTCTTCTTCTTGCGACAGGCTCAGCGAAGCCGGTGAGATGTTTCCTCCAGAGTGAAGATAAATCTTCTGTTGTTGTTGTTTTGTGTTATACTACTGTGGCCAAACAATCAAAATAGTTCATTGGCACTTGTGCTGCAGGAACCACCCAGCAGTCCCACACAAAACCGTCAGCTATAGCGACTGTGTGCAGTTACAGTGAAGTAGCGAAAAAGGAACCAAACGGTTCTAAGTTATAGAAACACCTCCATTTAGTTCCTGGTACCTGGGAAATGTGTAGATTTCCTTCTTCTGTTAGAGGTCCCAGTACTGATAACAGTCCCGGGTTCTTTCACAATGAAAGAACCCGGGACTGGTCCAAGGTTAGGTTAGGCTGGGGGGCCTCTGACTCTAGGATCTGTCACTGACCCTGTAATTCCTGGTACTCCTTCAGGTGGTGGAGACATCCTTCTAACTGCCTTCAGGTCTTCATTGAACTTATACATCAAACACTGCAATCATTACTACAGTACACTGGATATTCTACAGTAGAACCGTTTTTATTGCATGTGGGTAATGGAACCAGAACTGGGTCAACACACCACTGTCTAGCCGTGGATTTGTGTCCTTCAATTTAAAACACATTCGTTCCTGGGACTAGTTCCTGTGGTGACTACACAGTTGCTGGTACCATCATTAGAACATGGTTACACATCAACTAGTGGAAAAGCAGATTTTTCCTGGTACTCCCTACAGTTCCTGTTACTGACCCTAGATCCAACTGATATTTAGTTTCATTCATGTTCTTGTAAGACATGAATTAAACTGTCAAGGACTTTTTCCTCAACAGGTTCCCCAGGAGAAGAATCTGGATGCTGACCTTGCTGACCCTGAGGGTCAGCTGGGCTGGCTGGAGAACAGTGACACCACGCTCCTCAGACAGACCAGATCTTCTGAGTATGAAGACTCTTCTGAGGAGTCTTCAGAAAGCCAATCATCTGAGGAGTCATCGGAGGAGGGAGGCGACGACGACGATGATGATGAAGATGACAACAGCACGACCCCCCCACCTACAGAAACCACCGGAACCATTAACCCTGAGCCCAGTACTGAGAACAGCACAGGGGCCACACCCACTGCTGGTGTCACCGAGGAGAACTCGACAGCTGCCACAACAGAAAGTAGAGGAGATGTGTAAACAGAGCTACTTCCTGTTAGCCTCCACCGCAGCATTTCATTTGAGATTTAAGAATAAGACAAAAATGTCAAGAATGGCTCCATTTAGCTTCCTGTCATGTATACCAACCTGGGGCCACTCTCTCTTGCTTTTAGCATGTTGCCTACTTCACATTACAACTCGCGTTGTAAGAAATTATAACATTTTCATAAATGTGATCTAAGAGCTGGGGTTTAGCTAACTTCCTGTCTGCCCTTGATTGTTTCATATATCACAGCATTAAAGACCAGCTTTCCTGTAAGTCCTCTGTTTCTATGTTTGGAAGAAATACAAATAAAACATGTTTGCCTAACTTTTAGCTAACTTGTATGTAAATGTTTTTTCTCCCTCTCTCGCTCACGCTCTCTCTCTTTAGTTCCATTGGTTCTTGGGTAGATTTGTGTCATGTTGGACAGATTTACTGTTGAATTAATTAATACAATTAAAATAAATCAACAATCACATTAAATCAACAATTTAAAGTGTGGATTCACCACAGTCCAGTTTCACAGGTTTAAGAAAAAATAATCAGGTACACTTAACACAGACTTATTTTCTCCTCCGTAGCGGTCCGTAGTCGTCAGTTCCCAGCAGGTCCGGTCCTGTTGTTGTCTGAACTTACTGTATGAAAATGTTCTGAACTCTGTTGTGGTTTTATTTCATTATGTGTTTGCCTTTAGCTTGAATCTCAACTTTAATAACAGACATCATCATTCTTTCTGTTTTATCACTTGAATTCCAGACTCGCTGAGGAAGGCTGATGATGTCAGAGGTATTCTGTCCTTTGGTCTTCAGAACCTTCTGGGCCCTGAGTCTGATCTTCTCCAAACCAGCAGGTAAAGTCCCACAGATCTTTGAACAACACAGTGAGCTAACAGAGCACTTTTTTAAGATGTTAAAAAACCAAAACACCTCCTTTAATAGTGTCTCCATTAAACACAGGAGGACAGTGAAAATCATTTTAACTATTGGTTTAAAAAAAGACAAAAACAGTTTGGAGGTAGGCTACATAATTCTGGACTCTGTCGAAAAGAAAAGATTATTTTTTACCAAACTTATCAGTGGTATTAGCCAAAAGACGGCTAACTTTGGTTCAATCCGGCTAGATTTGTGTCAAACTCTGACATCACACTACTACCACAGTCAACAGGTCATATTGGACAGATGAACTGTTTTTTTATTCTTTTAATAGAATTTAAAAAACAAACAAAATAAACAAATTATTTTGTGATTTATAAATATAAAGCATTAAAAAACAATCTTTGAAATCCTGCATGATTAATCTTTAAATGACTGGAGAACCATGAGTTCTGTTAAAGATCGTTTTGTCTTGGAAATTCGACGTCATATAGTATGTTCCTACCCCATCTAGTGGAGATGTTATACAATTACAAAAAAATAAGAGAATCAAGTTATAATAATAATTTTGAAGTCGTGATATAAAAGAAATGTGTCCATAAATCATCATTTGGGGGGGGGGGAGCAATAAGTCATCAGTTAAACTGTGACATGTTGAGGGAGACATAAGAGACGAGCAGCCAGTGGTAAACATTTCTTGCCTACAAATAAGAATTGTGGAGAATCTCAAATAAGGAGAAACGTCATCATCTGCAGCTTCAGCAGCAAAGGTCGTCACAACTGGGACAGTGAAAAAATGTAAAATAGTAAAAAGAATAATGTCATAAATTCAGTAGAATAAAGTAGTAAACCTTATTATGAAAAATAATATAAATAACATATAAAAAATATAATATAAAAAACAATGACGCGACTCAAATTATTCTCATAATTTAAGATGTTTTAATTCCCAACACTCATCTGTCAAGGAATGGTTTCTAAGAATATAACTGCAGTGTTTTCACAGGGGTTTTCTTTCACAGAGTAGAATTCTTTCAGCCTTTTAAAGTGAATGTAATCATTCTGTCTCACATGAAGATTCCACCGCTGTGGTGTGAATGGAGTGAATGGAGTGAACGTCAACACGTCAACAAAAACAGGCCAGAGCAACTTTTACATAAAAAGACTTTTATTAATATTAATATCATAGAAATACATTACATCACAGTAAACACTGCTGGACAAAGGACATGTAGTGTAGAGAGGACGTGTGCAAGAGAACGTCTGTGTGTGTGTGTGTGTGTGTGAGTGAAACAGTTAAAACATGTTTAAATACAGTCAGTACTGATACAAGAGCAGATAATAAGAATGAGTTTATACCACAGTGTTAGTTCACGGTTAAATGCTGTGCTACATGTGTGTTTGTTTGTGTGTGTGTGTGCGTGTGTGCGTGCGTGTGTGTGTGTGGGTCAAATGTGACATTTTGCAGACGGAGACAAAGACAGAGAGAAGGTTGAAGGTAGGAGTTAAGGCCCAGGATTGGTTCGTTTGGTGGATCAGTTCTCCAGAAAGCTGGTGTGGACCTGACTGGTTAGCAGCTGTGGTGGTGTCACCTCCACCCACCACTCATGAACAAAGCAGAGAAGGACCAATCAGAGCAGCCTGGAGAACATTACCACGTTTCTGGAGAAATTTTAAAAGCCTGTCTCCTCTGGTCCATCATGCAGCCAGTCATATTACACTTTGGTTGAGATGTGTCCCACATATTCTGGGAACCAGATGTTGGACGGCAGAGTAGCATAATTAGTGACTGTATGGGTTGTTTGCCCTGTAACTGGGCCAGACTGGCTGTGTTGAAAGAAAGGGATGTGATCGTGAGATGCTGTTTGACCTTTGACCTAAGTGGATAACCTCATAAATACTGGACCATAAAAACTATGGATAGTTTTTCTCTGATGTATTTTCTGACCTTGACCTCTGCGTCTGTTTGACCCTGAAGAAGAAGAAAGTAAAGAGTAAGAGTCTGAGGGTTTGTTTACACCTGTGTATGTGAATGGGACACCTTCATCCACTCCGTTTCCTAGGTGGGCGTGGCTTATTTGGCAGTGATGACCACCATCACATCAGTGGTGACATGAGGCACCGCCCCATCCTCGTCTGAGTCGCTCTCGTCTGAGTCGCTGTCAGCGGCGCCGGGTGTAGCCGTGGCCTCCTCACTGCTCTGACTGTCCTCGTCCTCAGAATCCACACTGGCACTGGCGCTCTCGTCCTCCTCCTCCTCCTCCTCCTCCTGGGTGGCGCTGGAGCTTTCGCTCTCACTTGTGGTGGCGTCATTGGCGTTCTCCTCCTCTGGAACAAACGCCTGACGAGGGCTGATCTGCAGGTCCTGTGTGACGTCAGAGGAAGTGTCAAGACCCTGGCTCTCCACCTCAGGAGTGCTGGTGTCCTCCTCCAGGAGGTCAGAGTGGACCTGGATAGCCTGCAGGGAGAGCAGTAGATACAACTTACACTCTGAGATGGTAAAGAATTTTATTTTCTAAATAATAATTTAATTAATGACACAGAAAACATTACAGATAAATGTTAACCCAGAAATATTTGTTTGCCAATAACATTAAAAATACGAATTCATATTTGAAATGAAATGATCCAACAGATTACTATCCTTCAGGACAGAACACCTGTAGGTTTGTAGGTTCTGTAGCATAGAAATATGAAATATAGAGATTGTTCAATCTGATACTCAGGATCAGTATTAGTCCCATATTGGTCAAAAATATTTGTATGATCCGATACCTAGCCAAAATGCTCAAATTAGCTTTGCATTGTATTGTTGTATGGAGCCATCCCTAATGAAAAAACAATAACAATCTAAACAACAATGAAAAATTACAAAAATTAAATGAGCCCAATAATCACAAAAAGTCCAAAACCAAAAGTCTGGTCTTATGTGGACATAGACAACAGAGTCTGGACTTTGACCTTTGAAGGAGGTTCACACAGATGTTTATTGTTAAGTGAATATTGTCTCCGGGTCAATCTGAGTTAGATTCAGTTTGGAATTCACCGTCAAATCTCCCCCAGAATTCCAAGACTAACCTGTACCTTGTACACCTTCATGGACTTCTCCACGTCGTTGCCGTTGCTCTTGTCATAGTCCGTCTTCTTCCCGCTGTCGTAGTACTCGTAGGACTTGTAGGGAGAAGGAACCTTATGGTAGGACTTGTCCTCCACATAGATGGACTTGTAGTCACTGGGGTAACCTCCCAGACTGTCTCCACGTCCTGAGTCTGTGTCTGTGACGATGGTCGGCTCCAGAGGATCCACGGTGGTTTCTACCACAGGTTCATCTGTGACAGGGATGACGACGGTGGGAGCGACGGTGGAGGATTCTCCTGACTCGGAGGTGTCGTTGGAGTCGTTCTCATCTTCATCTGTGTCCTGGAAACGCAGAGAGGAAAGGTAAAATTCAGACTGCAGATTCCAACAGAGTTAAAGACTTAGGTTAGGAGTTGAACTTTTTTTGCTCACGTTCTCCTCTGAATCATCGTCATCATCATCACTGTCTGCACTGTCTTTACTGTCCTCACTGGTTGTGTCAGGGACAGCTGTGGCATCGAAGGTGCTGAATTTAAATTCCACAGCCGGAGCCTCTGCTGCCACCTGTGGTCAGGAACAGAAACATAAAGCTTTCTTGGCTCAACATTAAGGTGAAAGTTCAGATATTTACATTTAAACCAAAACCAAACCTCTTTGGGTTCTACCCTAGAACACACAGTATCTCACTAACATTGTCTCTCACCTGAACTTCCTCAGAACTCTGCTTGCTCTCATCTGATTCTGTAGCTGTGGAGACTGCTGGAACGTTCTGAAACATCGCAGACATACGGTAAAATAGGTTAGTTTTCTTTTTTTTCCTTTGAGCCAGTGTTTCCACAAGCAATGTTCAAATGTTTGATCATTATTATTATTTAATTGTTATTTTACATTTTATAGTTTTGTTTTTTTTTAACCATTAATGCTTTTCATTTATTTTTACAAAAGTGTGATGGTTTTGTAACAGATGTAAACGTTATCCTAAAAGTTGGGCTGTATATACAGTACAATTTGAAAATCTGATTAATAACAATGATTTTTTTTATTACGGTGGGAGCAGGAAGTGATTAAAAACATTAAGGTTGAATAATTAACAACAATTGTTCAACTTCAAATTACACAGAACTCTTTAGTAATAGCATCATAAAGACGAAAAGATCTGACAGACCGTTAAAAATGAAGATAAATGGAAAAAAAATTCTTAACTTCTTAGACAAATAATATAAATATAAAAGAAGTTCACCTGTATTTGTGCTGCACGGAAACGAGGACCCCAGGCCACGGGTTTCCTCATGTAGCGAGGGGGAGGTCGTCTCACCTGTGGAGAACACAGTTTATTTAAGCACGGCCACAAAACCTAAAACCACCATCACTGCTCTTTATCCACAAACTCACCATTTCTTCAGAACTCTCAGAGCTGCTGACAGAAACTCTCCTCGCCTAAAACACAAACCATGGCAATTCAGGAGAAGGACAATCTCTCACGACAAAAATCATCTTAACTCAGTCCTTATGACATGTTCTTTATATTAGGACGCACTCACCGGCCGACAGAGAACTGTGGCAAAGAGCAGGATGAAGACCACAGCCACTTTCATCGTGTCACAGTCTAGACAGTTCATCACAAAAGACAAACGTTCAAGAATATTATTAAAAACTGAACTAAAATGTTAGCCAAATCCTAGCTATCTGACAATGCAGCAGAACAGTCTCTCCACAGAATGAACTAAAATATAACCAACAAGGAGAGAGACGGTGCTGGTTTGGTCCACATTTTAAAATGACCTCCTATCACTCAGCCACCAGAGAAAAGCTCTGCCTTAAACCACGTACAGTAGGTCCTGTTGGCTACAGCCCACAAACTGGGACACAGCTGCAGTACAGTCCCCACAGTCTGTGGTCCTAGACAGGTTTTGGCGTTTAAAGCGGTGTCATCACCCAGCATCTTCTCTTTAACTGCAGCTCGGAGGTCTCATTCTGTCTGACCTCAACCCCCACGCCACCTCCCACCCAAGATGCCAACACAGATTTTCACCAAAAAATAAGGTCTGTAGTGGTCACATGACCCCTAACAATCGGTGTCACTTCCTGTCTGAGACCTTGGTGTGTCGCAGGAAGTCATTACAGGTTAAATGACAGAGCAGGGCCCTGAACGCCTCGTTTCCCCTGTGATCTGATGTGAGAAAATCATTTCTGAGGTGTAATTTAGAAAAAGACCAACCTCCATGTGAGGAGTTCAGGGAACAAAACCAGAATAATTAAAAGTTACCCCAGAGACTAGTTTACATTTTCATCAATCAAAGTGCAAAAAGAACTCAAAAACAGTATTTACGGTTTACAGAAAGCAAGAAAGAAAAAAAAAACGTTTTAAAATTCCATACAGGTTGAAGCAGTAGAGAAGAGAGGGTTGTCATTTTGGAGTCTTATTTCCAGGTTATAGGTGTTAGGTCTGTCATTAGCCCCTCGCTCTAATGAGCGTGAAGAGATACGCGCGCGTCATTTGTCACGACAAATTCCACGTTTTAAACTGTTACGTTGAAAATTGTAAAAAAAAAGTCCTGAGCAAATAAGAACCACAAGAATATTCAACTTCAAAATGTGTATAAACACAAAGAAGAGCTAGAAAAAAAATAGATTTATAATAATGAAACCAGAAAATAACATATTTTGTAACATATTCAGATAACAAAACATACTTTTATATTCATTACAAATTAGTATAACTGTGGAGAGCCAACGGAAGAGTCTGTTTATATTTTGTTTTGGACACAACTACATCATGTGAAGAAAAGAGTCTTTTCCATGTGCATTTATTTACTGTAGTTGTATTTTAATTATCAAAAAATAATCACGATGACCCTGCTGACAGATTTTTACACTTTATAAAAATATGTTAGCATGGGTTCATTGACTTTTGTCAGTAAATCCTCCTGAATAGCCTCAGCTGGGTGACCTGTATTTTTAAATTTATTAAATTTTTTTTTACACAGTTCACCCCCAGACAGCACTGTAGTAACACTGCTACAGTTACTTTAACTGTTGTAAAGTTCTACTATTCCAAAAATATTTTACACACACACACACATATATCTATATCTGCTCTGATTTTGTCATCTTTGTGTGAGTATGTGTGTGTGTGCGTGTGTGGGAGTGTCGTCCTCCATCTTTAATGACTGCCTTGTCCTATACTGTGTAATTCAGATGGATATAAGTGGAAAAGCCACAACAGAAACATAACAGACGCCCTATGGCTGCAAATGTATGTGTGCGTGTGTGTGTGTTCAGACTGATTTTCTGTCTTTGTGGGGAACAAGTATGATCTAGTTTACAGTAGTGACATCAATTTACAGTTTAAGTAGTATCTCTTAGTTCCAACAAGATGTCAACTAAACCTCATCAAAACACGTCCATTAAAAAGTGGCTTATGAATTTAAATTAAAATTAGAATAGGAAAAGTGATTACTAACCGACAACAAACAGAAAAACTTGGCCACAACACATGTCAAAGTTAACCTGCAAATGGTTAGCCTCTAAAAATGGTAGCCAAACATGGGCGGTAGCAGGTGGACAGTTAGTTCACTTTTACCAGTATCAGCTACTACTTAGACAAGTGAAGATCAACTCATGTTTGTTATTTAACTAATTAAAGACAACTTGAAGTAAAAACTTTTTAGTTCTTGCTCCAGAATGAAACGCTGGGGTTTGAAGAAGATGCTGAGGTTTTTAAAAACTTTCTTCTGCTCTTCAATTAAAAACCACTGTACATCTGTACGTGTGTGTGTCACACACATATACATACAGACTGTGTGGTTAACCAGCGCCATCTCTGGTCAGATCACACAAGTAACGCAGAGGTTAACTTTCTGTAACTTTCTGTAACAGTTCCTCCTCCTGACCTATAGGTGTCACTGTAACACTAATGAAAAAGATCATTCACTCCAGTTTAGGCACTCTTTTTAGTTGTTTTTTTAATTGGAAAAATTCTTGAAAATGAAAATGTTCTTTTTTTCAATCTATCATTTATATAAAGGATATAAATATGGATTTATTTGTCATTAAAAGAAATACAAAAGGTTTGGTAAATCTTTAAAAAAGTTTAAAAACAACATTAAATTGTAAAGAAGATTTTGTGAATTGCAATAAAACATATTGCTTTTGAACATGCAAAAAAGGAAGTACAAATAACAAAACACTCAGAATAATATTTATATTAATTTGAATACAAACGCATTCAAATAACATTTTACTCTAGATTCACTGTAATTTACATTGTTATTGTTTGTTTTACATTCCCTCCCTTATGGAAACTGAACTAATTTACCTCCCAAAAAATAATGCAATTAGATTCAAATAATTACAATCTGCATCTAGTTTGTCAGTGAAAAACTTTTCACAGGCTGCAGGACAGAAGAAGTGACTCTCTCCAGTGCAAAAAAGAAAACATTTCAAATTGATTTCTTGAAATCTGACCTGGTTTGCTGCTGCAGGAATCTCGAGTGGTTCTCTGTGTCTCTAGTTTATCTCCTCTTCTCGGTGGTGACTGATGATGAAGATGCTGCAGATGTTTGCTGCTCTCTGATTCTGCTGCTCTGGTTATAAACGCTGCAGCTTCGCCTCGGCAGCCAATCAGCTGCCAGTCTGTGATTTTCCTGAGGTTAACCGCCTTCTCCATCTCTCCCACTCTTCCTGTGGTTGGTGCTGTGGCGGTGGTGGTGCGGGGGTACACACACACACACACACACTAGGGTTTGGTGTGTATGGAGTTAATTTAAGGACATGCAGTGGCAGGCTCTAAGGGAAAAAACAGCAGCAGATAGAGACAAGTGTGTGACACTGATTCAGCTTCCTCATAGACAGAGAATCATCTGACTGTGTGTGTGTGTGCATGTGTGTGAAATCTGAGTTAAAGTAAAATGTTGTGCTGAACTAAATGTTAGATTTAGTTTAAAGTTACATTAGAAATAAACAGAATGATTCACTTCCAGTGTGATTGTTTAGCATAATGACACACTGCACACATGAAAACATCCACAGTTAAGACACGGAGAAAGTCAGATTAATCCACTAAGCAAGAGACCGAGCAAATAACATCTATATCAGCTCAAATTTGCATTGCTTCAACGCCGTAATGATTATTTTATATCACTTTTCTAACGGGAAAGTGTTGTTTATAAACAGTCCCACACCAAAGTCCACAGACAAAGTATGTTGGAGTTGATGCTCAGATTTACCTCAATTACACAAACTGACCAGAGGAGGCAGTAGTGAGACAACAGGTCCTACATGCTATGATGAAAAATTAGTAATTACTGATTTTCTCTCTGGACTTGAGTGCAGTAATATTTTCGGGAGGGTTGGACATTATAGACACTGATAAAAGTGGCTCTCATGATTATTGTTTTGATACATTTGACAGGATTTGAAACTATTGGTTTTTAATCTTAATCTGTTAACCTAATGCGATTTTAAAAGTTTAGAATAGAAATAGACAATAATATGATGTGGCCATGTTTTACACTGAGCTGTTTATATAGTGAGAAGACAGTCTCGTGCTGCAGCTGAGACATTAGCATATGAGCTAAAAACAGCTAACAGGCGCTAACACAACATGTCTTCACTAATCTGTGGATAAAAACACTGGCGCAACCTAACATTTGTGTTAAACCAAACTTCCAAAAAGAGAGGTTAAAAGTATCTTAAAGCTGTAACACAAGTTTTTAAAGAAACTGAACTGAGTGAGTGTGAAGCAGCTTTAGCAGCAGTTAGCTCAGAGGCTAAAATCCAGACACAGAGTTTTTCTGTTTATTAACATTTAAAAAATGAATTTGAAGAACTTGATCAGAGGCAATAAATGATGAAACCTCAGAGTTTAGAGTGGTTCAGTTTAGTTTGGTGAAACTGTAAGAGTCATTTGATTCTTAGTTATTTGATTTGTTTGTTTTGTTGTTTTTGACATATCACAGTGCAGATTTGTGATGAATTCATTTCTTCACAACAGAAATAAACAGACTGTAGATTCAGAACTGATGTTTTTGGTCTGAAAACATTATTCCATACAGTATGTAGTAGCTGATTCTCAGTATTTTGTATCTTATTTTGAAAAAAGAAGATAGTGAATATATAACATTATTTTCGTGATGTATTGTGTAAACACAATATAAGACTGACCCTAAGAATCAGGGTGTGTCATTAACTTGAGTAAAGATACATTTTCTCCTTTCCAATGAAAGTAACGAAACATAAATAAATATATGAAACTAAACACTTCTGCTCATCGCGCCTCATGTTTATCATAGACTCTCAGTAACTGTCAGCTTCAGGTCCAGACACCAAGGCATTTTTTACATTTTTTAACCTAATTGGTCTTGAAGACACATTTGTTTTCCGACACAGAAATGTTGAAGGTGATTAAAGATGATGTGAAGTTTCACCTGAACCAAACCTACAATTACAGTCAGAGGTCTGTGTGTGTCTGAGCTGATGTCTGACACTTGAACACACATCTGTATACATACTGTACACTGCATACACACCCACTGGATACACCGACAGGCCGACTGAACGTTCACAGCCTGCAGCTCATACTGTAAATGGAGTTTTCATCAGGCTGTTTTTAACTGAGCGCCTGAAGGAAAACATGAAAAATTCCAAAAATTCAAACCAGAAAGTGAAGCAACAAAAACATTAGAATTATTTCCTATTTATCATTACATGATTCATAAAATGCTAAAAAATATATATTGTATGACTTTTTACTACAAAGTTTTATTTGTTTCATTTTATGACTTATAGAAAATAATGTTTTTACATTTATTTATGTAATATTATATTATATTTTTAACCACAGGAGCAATAATAACTCAGTGTATGTGTCTGTGTGAGGGTGTGTGTGTGTCACCCAGCAGACTGAGTGATGAGTCTGTGGTGACTGTGTCAGAACACGTATGAAATTTGAACGTCTGTGCTGCTCACATAAATCTAATATATATATTACATACATATGTTTGTGTCAAGTGCTGGAGGTGGCAGAGTTGAAGATGTTAAGATTCTCTTTAGGAGTGACAAGAATGGACAGGATCAGGAATGAGGTCATTAGAGGGACAACACAGACAGGAAGGTTTGGAGAAAAAGCTAGAGAAGCCAGACTGAGATGGTTTGGACATTGGTAGAAGAATGTTAGCGATGGAGCTACCAGGAGATATATGGATGCTTCTGACCATTGGTCATGTGATGATTCATGTTGCACGTATGTTCGTGTGACATTGACGGCTCTGAAGAAGACGGCCGAGGCGAATCAAAGCAGCGGTGGCGACAGTGAAACGGTCACACGTACGAGCTGCACGGAGACTCTGAACTCCTCCAGTTTCCTGAAGCAGGAATAAAAACAAATAATAGGTGTGGTGAGAAGCAGGACTGTGAAGAGTTTATGTGGAAAAAAACACTTTAAAACCTTCACGTTTCATTGGTCAATAAAACATGACGGTCTGAGAGGAGACAAAAGAGCCAGAAAAACAGACAGTGTGTGTGTGTGTGTGTGTGTGAGAGAGAGCATGTGTGTTTGTGTCCATCCAACCATAAACACTGATTCACCTTCCAGACCAGAAAACACAACCACAGAAATATCAGACTGATGTCACAGTCTGATCACTGTCCCTTTTATGGTGTTTGAAAACATCTGGATATTAAAGTCCACCGCACCAGTATGTGTGTGTGTGTTTGTGTTTATTTACATTTATAGTTAGGACTAATTACTGTGAACACAAAAATTTAAAAATAGAAGAAATTCACATGTTCTATTTCTTTAGGTTTTTTCTTCTTTTTCTTTGCATCCTTCCTTTCTTCATCATCATCGTCCTCTTCCTCTTCTTCTTCCTCTAATACTTCTTTTGTTATACTCTATTGTACTTCTTCTGTTTGTACTACTACTTCTTCTTGTCTTTTTCTTCTGTTGATTCTTCTCTTCTTCACTTTCTTCAACACTACATATAAAAATGTATTTATTATTTATGGTTTTTTTTCTATTTTAATTTTGATTTGAAATGAATTTGTTTCCGTCGCTTGTTTAATTTTAATATAATAGTATTGCTCAGAAACTGACAGTAAAACGTTGTCACTCCAGTACTGGTCAATAAATACTTCGATCATTAAGATCAACCTCATGTTTGCTGATCATTAAACCCATCACAGTATTTCTTTAGATCTTCTTCCTGCGTTTCCTGTCAGTGTGTTGATGCCTGACGTCCACTTCGTTTCCTGTTTCCCTCTTGGTTTTGTCCACTCTCCTCGTCAGTGTATATCTTCAGGACTTTCTGTTTGCATTTGGACTCTTTTCCAGTGGATTTAACATGTTCTCTTTTTAGACTGTATTGTGTTGTATAATTACATCCTTCAGCCAAAAGGGTTGTTTTGGCTCCTTTCACAATTATGAGAAACATCATTCGAAAAACTAAAACACTTGTTGCGAATGAAATGGTCTGTGGATGGATTTTCATGGCACAGGAACTCGAGCATGCTGATGTTTGTTGATGGGACCTGATGGTTCGGAGTAAAAGCCTTAAACTGAGCAGAACCCTTTACTTTCCAACATGATTTCGACTACATTTAGTCATTTGCTCTGTCTACAGTTGTTCCACCTGCGTTCAGTGTTTTTTTTACTTAATTGTTTTAATTGTTTGTTCAAATGTACTTGAGAATCACAAACTGGCCACAGGGGGCAGCAGTGGGAGCTGCCTGTGTTTCTGCGCTAAAATTATTGATTTTTTTTCTGTGTACTTTGGTGAGGGAGATGATTGATTTGAAAACCTCAGTTTCTTGTTGAAATGTTAACAAAACAGAAAGTTTAGACTTATATTAGAGGAAGTTGTAAACTGAACCTTTAATAATTTGGTAACGTAGCTGGAATCACCTTTTTTCATGGAGTTTTCAGCAGTTCTTGAACATGACTTTCCTTCAGTACAGGACTGGGCTTCATCACATTTACTACTACACTACTGTACTTTATGGTCATGTAATGACGACCTCCAAATGTGGAAACCTGCGTTTTTAGTCGACTAAATACAGAATCCAGGATTTGAAGAAATCTGATCCTCAGCACAAGGTGCAAATTTGAGGAATAACATGTTTTTCTATGAGTTTTTTATATACAGTATGAATGTTGGCATCGACGTCAGTCTCATGCACAGAGATGCAAAGCCGGTCTGTGTGTGTGTGTGTGTGTGTGTGTGTGTGTGTGTGAGTCAGTGCTGGTTCTTTTCTACGACCTTCCTCAGACATTCCTACCCTAATTATGCACCTACAGAGAAAGCGTGTGTGTGTGTGTGAATGGGGGTGTGTGTGTGTGCGTCTTCATTTTTTGGCACGTGTTTCAGACAAATGATGTCTTTTGTTGACTCTGTCTGCTGATGTAATTACTGCTGCCGCAGATTTTAAATTTCTGTCAATCGTTTTGTTTTTGATGACAGTCTGTAGATGAACACACACATTTCAGATCTGTTTTCACTTGTTTTCTCCAACTCTCTCGTTTTTATGACAGTGAAAAACAACTTCAGATCAAAATAGAGTTCATCTTTGTTTTGTTTGCATTTTCCTGCTATTGTCGAGTGTTTGTCTTTCAGCTACTACTGTGCTGTAAAGCTGTATTTCTGACAAACCTTCTAATGTTTTTGCCAAGTGTAGTGGGACCGTTGT